ATTTTGATCCTCTGCAGAGGGGTGGGCCCCTGCTTTGGTAGCCCGACGACCTACACGCGAAGTCGAGCACTTTACGGTAGAACAGTTTAGCGAGGACCGATACCGCACACCCTCGGTCCCTACGCAGACTAATCCAAGTGGTCACCCACCCGCACACTGACCGCAGCCAGTGATGCTTGACTTCGGTGATCTGGTGGGAACAGTGTCTAAGCCAGTGATTCTCAACCACTGTGCCGCGGCACTTTTGTGTGCCGCCAAATATTAGAAATGATACAATAAAAATTATAATGCTTTTTTAATTACGAGTAAAGTTTAAATTAAAGAAAAGTGTATATAATAATTTTTCCACTCTTTAACCGCGGGAACATCTTTGTCAGCGATTGTCTTGTCTCTGACAATCTTAAAATAAGAAGGAAGTGTTTAAATTGTCGTTGACAATTTTAAAAAATGTTGAAATAAGTAGGAAATTTAATGATCATTAAAATTATTAATTATCAAAGGAAAGCAAAGCTAAATATTAACTTTCAAACTTAAATAAAGGCTAATCATTAAAGTAAGCTATGCAATTAAAAGTTATAAAAAAAAACTAACAAAAAATAAGCTAACAATTAATAATCAGCAAAAACACTAGTTGACAAGAATTAATAATCAGCAAAAAAACTAGCTATAGAAAACAAGCGAACAATTAATAACTAGCAAAAAACATAAATAACTGTTATTAACTAATAAAAAATTAGTCGAAAGAAATAATTAATCCCTTAATAAATGTGCTTTTGTAGTACTTTATTTCACATTCAAAATTATTATCACAAACTATTTAACACAGTGTATTATAGTTAAGTAAATAACTTTTAAACTAATTTTTTTCATTGTGTGCCGTCAAATTTCGAAATCGTTAAAAGTGTGCCGTCACAAAAGAAAGGTTGAGAATCACTGGTCTAAGCGATCAGTCCACTGCGGGACTCGTTCATCTTGCTATTTAGTTACTGTCAATGAATCAAGATTTCTGGTTTCAAGAAGGACAGTGAATACTATAATAAAGCAACCTTACTGTACGAAAACAATTTTACTGATGCTATGCCAAATTTTGTGATTGCTTTAAGAATTTTTCTTACTGTTCCAGTAATCGTTACTACTGCAGAACGTCCATTTTCAAAACTAAAACTGATAAAAACATATTTGAGATCAATGATGTCTAATGCCCACCTTTCATCTTTTTGCACTCATTTCCATCGAGAATGATCTATCAACTTCTTTAGATTTCTTCTGTTTTAATAGACAATTTTGATGCTCTAAAATACTACAAAATTTGTCTTATAATTAACTTATCCATATTTGTAAGCAATATTATAATTTTTTCCTTACATTTGCTAAATCTTGAATATGTTTTTCCTTTTTCTAGGATCTATTATTCATAGGAATTATTTTAATTTATCTATCCAAATCAGTCTAATTTAATTTCAGTTAACGATCCTTTATATCAGGAGCGTAATTTTTAAAATAATAACAGGAATTCAACTTCGATGTTATAGAAATAAATTATATTCAATTATTGCCCATTTGTAAGTGTGTTGGGTTCATTCTCTAAGAAAAGTAAAAAGCAGGGTTGGCATAATTTAAAAACATTTTACTTAAAAATCATTAACTTATATGATTAATTATAATTTATTTTAATCTTAAATTTATGTAGAAAATATTATTTATATAGTGCTGCATTATCTAATATGTATATATAAGGCTTTGATAATAAATCATTGATATCAAATTGAAAAAAAAAATTAAAAACGAAATAAGATTTTTTTCTGTTCAAGAATTAAAATGTAGATAAGAATGTAATTTTTAAATGATAATATTTCATTATTCTTTTCATATCATTTTCATATTTTAATGTGCTCATTGTAGTAAGTAAAATAATTTGCTGTATGTAAATATATTTCAATTATACCCATTTATTTTTATACATATTTATTTTAATACAAATAATTTTAAATCTTATTAAATATGTAGTTAATGCATACACTCGTAATTAAAGAATAAAGACTTGTTCTGCCCAACCCAGAATAATGTAGTTTAAGAATGCTTTTTGATCTAAATTAATTGAATTTTTATTCGACAAATTGATTATCTGTTTTTACGATACTTTAAGGTTTTAAGTTTGATAGAAAATAGTAACTGATTTCATTTTTTCAGTAATTTATTTGCATAATTATATAATAATATTAACCTTTTTATTATTAGTGGTGTTATAAATTTTAATTGCTGTATTGTTGTTCATTAATATTGAGTATTATTTATATCTATTCCAATTGAAAAATCTAATTGAAATAAAAAAATTCCAATACTTAATATATAAATTTTTAAATAAAGCATGATTTTGATCAACTGTGATAAATTGCCTCAATGTTTCTTTCAGGGTCACTAAGACCCTAAGCACGCTCCTGAGTTTGACCCATAGGCTTTTGGCTCGTGGATGGTGCTATAATTGACAAAAATAAAAAAAAGGGGTTCGGATTTTTTAAAGTGGGGATGTCGCGTGAAATCATGTCTGGTGGAAAAAAATAAAAGGGACACCTTTGATATTTTGAAAAAAAAAAAAAAAAAAAAAAAAAAACATATATTACGCTAGCTCCAACCCCATCTCTCAAAGGGGCGATGAGTTTTTCAAATCTTTAACAGCCCCTGATTCCTTTTACTGCCAATTCGAATTTTGCATATATTGATTTGGAATTCATTGATTTTAATTCAAAATAAGAATTTCAGATTTAGAAATCTAGTTACGAGATACAACTTTTCAAGTAAATAAAAATGAAATTGAATAATTTCTTTACAACAAACTTGAGTCTTCGTCCTATCCAGAGATATAGGTCAAGTTCGGTTTTATTAGATCAAAGTATCAAACCCGTCTAATTTTAATTTTTTCGTATTCGACGTATTTCTCGAGATGTAAATTGCAGCTCCATCTGTGAACCTAAATTCAAAAACCTGCAAGTGAAATTGAAGCACTTTTTTTCTGCAATTTAAAATGTGTTTACTTTTTAAGATTTTGAAGTATCCTTACCCCATCCAAGAAGAGTTTGGTATCGTTATATGGATCTTTTAAAAATATTTCAGCGGTATAAGTTTATATCTTTGATCTGATACTTATTTCTTGAGACATTTGATTGTTTCCAAACTTTTTGGACACCCTGTATATTTTACAATACTACAGCTTACAGCAGAATAGGGCCATTCAAACGAATTGTTCCATCGGAATCTATCAGATGCATGTTTCTTCCAATTAAATACATTTAATATTTTCAAATAATTCTCAAAGTTATTAAGCAATCTGAGTTGATATTTTCCGCATTTTCTACTGCCTCTTGACTTATTGAAAGTTAATATCTTTTTAGTGTTATTATCGTATATTATAAATAAATGATTAAGATACCTCATTTTATTTTATTTGAGGACTTTTACTATGTCTGGTTCGGTTACTTATATCGATTATAAATTATTCCCCATATGTTTTTTTTTTTTTTTGGACAGCACCGAAAGTTTTGCGTATTATTTTTCTTCCAAAAACTAGTAGACTGTTTTGGATGTGTTTACTCTATGTCCAGCTTTCGCTGACATAGAAGACTTCTTGTCGGATTAGTGTCTTATAGATACTACTGATTTTAATTCAATTGCTAATCAGAAGTGACTTGTTGGTTTCTTCAAACGTAGCATGAATTATTAGTTTTTATATACTTCTTAGTAAATAAAATATATATTATTCTTTTAATGTAGGAAGTATTAAAAATACAATTTTACTCAAAAGATTGAGAATTTCTGCTTTAGAAGTGTTTTCTTTTGGAAGTGAAAAATTATTCTCAATTTCAATTATTTTAACAAATACTTTAGTCTTAAAGTTCCAATTCCAAGATAGATCTATCTATCTTCGATAGATCAATTGGGATATATATATATGCGGTATACAAAATTCTAAATTGTACTTGTTTCTTTTTTTATATCATTATTTATTGAAATCTGACACTATCGGGCTATTTTTACTGGATGATGATAAATTTGATTTTTAACCTTTCTTTGATGATAAGGCAGCGCGGAACACAACAAGTTAGCCGATGAAGAGAAGTCCGAATTTTGGAAACAAGTAGAACTAAACCAAAATGTTACGGCTCAACCACGGAAGCAGTGCCGGATTAAGTACACGCGGGGCCCTAGGCCATTCAAATTTTTGGGGCCCCTAGATAAAAAATTTTTTTGTAATTATTTATTGATCAAATAGAATTACGGACACTGAATAACTATAAAACACTAAGAAAGTTATGAGACACTTCAGTTGAGGCTCTAAATAACTTCTTTTTGATTTAAAACGTCTCAATATTGACAGCAACATTTATATGGTGCGTAGCGTTTTTAAAAAGTGCTTAAATGTGCTTAATTTCGAATTTCATTTTTTAAAAGCCCTTGAAGGTGCTTTTTTCATTGGGTGTTTTTAAAAAGTGCTTGATTTTTCCCTTTTCAAAAATGAGATTTTTTTTTTAATCATGTCAATTTTCGCCCCGTATTATTCAAAACCATGCTTTTCACGTTGTTCTATTTAACGTTTTCACAATTCATTCAACAATCTATTTCAGCAAACCGTTTTTCCGTAGCGTATGAAAACGCCAAACATTTTACATGTTTTGATGAAATACTTGCGAGTCGGCATGTGCGTCTACTGAGCTGGGTTCGGTGAGATTATTGCACTCTCATGTGCAACTCTGCTGCATTTTGAAAGATATTCTCTATTTCAGCGTATGATCGATCATTATTTTCGGCGGTGTCGTTGATAGCGTGTTCCGTGGTATCGAGCTGATCAGAAGCACTGTCGAGTCGATATTTCATTACAGCCAAATTAGCATCTTGCTTACCAATAATTATCAATAATTCCGTCACTGCCGTAAGAATTTCGGCTTTATCACCGTTAGCTATTTTGCAGGTAGATTTGTATAAGACGTTTCTTATTTTGGTCTGCAATGACTCAAAAGACAAGGCCCAAAGATTACATTGCACTAATAAGACCAACCAACAGTGATACAACTAGCGAGCAAACAAAATCAGACATTTTGGGTAGCCTTGATCCAAACAAACTCAAGATCGGAGTGAAGCGACTGGCTAAGATCAGAGACGGGGGAATTTTGATACAGACAAATACCGAGCGTGAATTGAAGATCCTTGAACAGGAATTCAGAGGAAATACTTTGATGGAGAAGTATGGGATTGCCAGACCGAAATTGATTAATCCATCCATTATTGTCTTTGGTGTTGATGGGGACATTGGTAAGGAAGAACTCACAGAAGCGCTCATAAATCAGAATACCATCGAACAGGAAGATATAGATGTTAGATTTCCCCTGCGCGCCGGTAAGGATAAGAATAATTGGGTTGTGGAAATCCAACCATTAGCTTTCAATAAAATTATGAACATCGGAAAGTTGAACATCAGATGGAGCAGGTATTTCTACAGGGAACATCTCCGTGTCAGACAGTGTTTCAAGTGTGCTCAGCTGGGCCACTTAGCCAGGGATTGTGTTAACGAGCAAATCTGCAGGAAGTGTTCTCAGACTAGTCACCAAGACAAGGAATGCCAAAATCTTAAGTTATGCACTAATTGCGATATAGCCAATAGAAAATTTAAGGCCATCCACGACATCAATCACAGCCCATTTGACATAGACTGCCCCCAACTCAAACGTGCCAGAGATCAGCAAATTAAAAGGACAAACTATGGACATTAATACCCATGTTGATCTTACTTTCGGCCATCTCAACCTCCATCGATCCAGGGCTGTAAACATTCAATTAAATCACGATATCTTAGACTTAAAACTTGATATCGTCAGTCTTAACGAACCGTATTTTAATTCCCAGGGTTACATTACTGATTTTGCTAGCAGCATTAAAATATACGCCGCGAACGAAAAGCCAAAAGCAGCTATACTGATTAATCGTAATGATCTAAACAACTATTGCATCGTTAATGAGCAATGCTTACAAGTCATTGGCTATACTTACCATAATACGGAACATATATTCATATCCATTTATATTTCCCCCAGCGAGCCAATAGATAATTATATCACTAAACTGGAGTCCATGGCGACGCGCTACGTAACTAATAACTTACTGATTTGTGGCGACTTTAACGCCAAATCCCCTGTTTGGGGGGGCACAGCGACACACCGATCTGGACCAGTTATCCAATTTATCCATCACTTTGACCTTTATCTTCTTAACGACCCAAATAGTCCGCCCACTTACTGTACACCTCGGGGCCAGAGCTGGATTGACTTAATTATTGCTAGTAGTCCCTGTTATACCAATTTCATGGTTGAGGACAGGATCACCGCCTCTGATCACGAGCTCCTAACCTGTTCTTTCATCTCGGATACCAATACAGCCAGAATCTCAACACTTGACGGAGTCACGAGATTTTATTATAATAAATTAAGCTGGATTGACCTTAAAGCAAAACTTACCGGTATCACGCAGGCGTACGATCCGAATAGTATTAACACCATAGAAGGACTTAATAGTTTCATCAAAAACGTTACCAATGACATCAGTAACATCTGTAAACAAACAACTTTCAGGCGCAACACAAACAAGACCAATGCTAGGAACCTCTGGTGGAACAACGCGCTCACGACTATGAGAAAAAGGGTGCGAGCTCTTAGGCGAAGATTCCAGAAAAGCACTGACGTCCTGAGCAGAGCACAATATAAAATCGAATTTAAAAAACAGCTCGCAGTGTACAGGAAAATGATCAGGACCCAGAAAAACAACAGTATCAAACAATATGTCGATAGCTTCACATTAAACACGGCTTTCGGTAAACCATATAAGATTTCAAAGGGCATTAATATTAGGAACAAAAATAACACCCTTACGACTAAGGAAGACGGCACAAGCACAAAAGACTATAGGGAATCCATTACCAATATTTTAAATCATCATTTCCCCATGGTACGGGAAGACGATACCCGAATTCAATTCAGTGGCAACCATGACCCACACTTTACACTCGCGGAAATCGAGCATGTCATCAAAAACATAAAACCGAATAAAGCTCCGGGCCCAGACGGAATTCCAGCCGAGGTGTACAGGGACATGTATTACTGTAATAAACACTGGTTCAGATCGGTATTGAACAAATGTCTTCAATTGGGTTCCTTTCCAGATCCTTGGAAAAAAGCCTCTGTCTGCCTGATTCCCAAGCATGGCAAAAATCCTCAATTACCGCAGAGCTATCGTCCAATCTCTCTGCTCTCTACCTGGGGTAAAATTTTGGATAAGTTGATTGCTGAGAGATTAATCTATTTTTTAGAAAGCAATAATATCTTACATGAAAATCAATTTGGCTTCAGGAGAGGCAGGGGAGCGGATGACGCGCTTAAATTTGTTGTGGACTATGTCACAGCTGCTAAACACGAAGGTAAACATACAGTGGGCGTCGCCATGGACATTAAAAATGCTTTCGGCTCTGCCAGTTGGAGGCTGCTTAAGCAGGAATTAAATAGTTTGGGTTTGGGCGACTCGGTGCTGGCGGTGGTTTTTGATTTTTTAAACAATAGATATGTTTGTTTTAATCGAATTGATGTTCTTATAGAATCACCAACCAATGTAGGGGTACCCCAGGGCTCGTCCCTGGGACCCATTTTATGGCTCATACTCATTAATTCATTGATCGTCAATTTTAACTATTATGATTGCAGTTTGCTTGCCTTCGCCGATGACGTCTTTTTACTGATGAAGCATTCAATACTCTATAGAATCGACAAAATAGGCACAGATATTATACAGTCTCTTACGGACTGGGCCAGGGAACACAGCCTTGTTTTCGCACCTGAAAAGACAAAATTGATCACATTTCTTAAAGACGCCAAATGTGTTAGAAGGCAACCGCGTATCAAAATGGCTGGCACAACTACTGCCAATATTAAACCAGTAAAAACACTTAAATATCTTGGCGTGATTTTTGACCCTCGGTTGAGCTGGATGCCACATCTCGAGCAGTTAAAGTCCGATGTCGACATCTTTTACAACAAAATGAAACAGTTCAGTAGAGCCACCTGGGGCTTGTCCCCAAACATTCTTAAACAAATTTATCTCCGAGCTATTGAGAAAAAAATCACTTACGGAGCCTCTGTATGGTATAAAAATAACGTGAAAATTAATAAGAAGTTGAACTCCATACAGCGCATCCCCCTTCTAAATATCACCAAATGCTACTCCACCACCAGCACAGAGGCTCTCCAAATTCTTGCTGGTATTCCCCCCATCGACCTAAAAATTAGACAGACTTGTACTATAAAGAAACATCGGTGGACGCGAGATAAGCAAATCATTTTCGATAGCGACTTCCAAATCAAAGAACTAGATGCCTTACCGATAGATACCCCAGTACACCATAATCCCTTGGATCTCAAGATGATAGAAAGGGGCTACAGCTCACCGAGGGGTGTGGGTTATGAAATCTATACAGACGGCAGTAGAAGACAAATAACAAATTCGGATACAGGGTTGACCGAGGATAGAGTGGGCTGTGGTTTCTTGGTGAAGCTTAATAACAACACCATTTATCAACACTGTGCTAGACTTAATAACGATGCAAGTGTATACCCCGCCGAACTCACTGCCATCAAACTTGCAATCACATGGGCAAACGCTGAAAATATTAATGCATTTAATTTATTCTCTGATTCTAAATCCTCGCTGCAGTCGCTAGAAAACCCAAATCCGAATGACCCACTTGTGGAAGAAATTAAGAACATGGTCAAATATAAAACATGCTGTCTCAACTGGGTAAAGGCACATTCTGGGGACATTGGCAACGAGGAAGCTGATGCACTTGCCAAACAAGGCACTCTTCTTGGCAGGGTTGATCACTATTATCCTCTTTCAAAACCACAAATCAATTACAGACTGAGGCAGGTAAGCAACGCAATTTGGCAGGACAGGTGGTCAACCACAACAAATGGGAGACATACCTATATCTTCTACCCAATGGTCAAGGAGAATAGACTCTCCAGCGATTTCTTTCTTAATCAATTTCTCACGGGTCACGGAGTTTTCGGCGAGCATCAAGCTAGGCTATTCCAAGCTACAGCCAGCTGTAAATACTGTGGAAAATATCAATCTCTTAAACACCTAATCGCCGAATGTGACAAATTCCGGACACTCCGAGGAAATCTCTTTCGTAATATGAACGACTTGACTCTTTGGTTCCGATCTAAAGCACAAAAATATGCTATCACTGAGATTATTAAACGTACCCTGGTAGATATAATGACACCAGACGATCTCATGGACCCTCTTCATATGAATCAAATTTAGATCTTTGCACCTAATTAACATCTCTCGGGGTTGCATAGCGACCACCTGCCCTGCCACAAACAGCTAATTGCTCTTAATGCTTTCTTTTAATTCTACTCATTTCACTTCATTGCTATTTATTTGTTTTTAACTTTGGAACCCTTTTGGTTCAATGATATTTTATATTTTATATTCTGGAAGCCTGTTGGTTCAATTTCTATGTTTTCAATGTTTTATTACGTTTAAATTGCTTTTGCTTGTCTAATTTACCTTTTGATCCAATGTTTTTAATGTTTACAATCTTTCACTTACCTGTTTACCCTCTTGGATCCAATGTTATATACTGTATTCTTTTTCAGATTGTTGTTGTTAGTAATATTCAAAGATACTTAAGAAATCATGTAATGCTATATCAAATTCGTCTCTATTCAATACTAAGGCATACAAGTCATTGTCAACTAAAATTATAGGATGTCAACTAAAATTTAGGATAAGCATTAAATATTATTATATTTATTTATTATTCATTTATTTTGTTTTATTATTCATGTTTATCATTGTAAATTCTCATCTTCTTTTGTTTTCAAACTGGAAATTGTATTGTATCCTTTTGTTGATCAATAAATTTTCACCCCGGATGCCCCCGCTAGGGGGCGGGACGGGGTTGAGCTTTGAATATATTCTCTATTTCAGGCTTCATTTTCCACCATCTGATATCGAACCGAAATATCTCACGATCATTTTATAATGGCTAATATAATCAAGAAAAGAGTTCTTTGTCAGAAATTAGTTATTTTATCATGATCATGTAGTCTTCGAAAACTATTTTGCATTTTGTTAATGTACATAGTGCTTAAAAATATTTTTTGAGTGCTTAAAAGTACTTAAAAGGTGCTTATTTTTTTTGGTAGATTTGGCTACGCACCCTGTTTCTTTGCTTCTTGCTTAAACAAGTCTCAGCTCGCTATAGTACTGCCTTCAATTTTTTCGTACACAAATCAAAATGACAAATTTGAACTTAAAAAACATAGATAAATTATTTAGTGTCTCAACCAGGGTTGGCAAGTTTTTAACACATGACGGTTTTTACCGGTTTATACCATGGTTTTTACCGTCATGTCAAAAACCCCTCTGCCAAAAACCCATAGTTTTAATAAAACTGTATTTTAATTTGAGTTTAACTGCTTATGTTTTAAAATTAATTCATTTTTGGGCAATAAAATTAGAAAAAAATTGTTAAAAGATATTTAACAGGGTGCGTAGCGCTTGTAAAAAGTGCTTAAAGGTGCTTTTTTGGGGATTTCGTTTTTAAAAGCTTTTAAAGGTGCTTTTTTCAGCTGGCGTTTTTAAAAAGTGCTTTTTTCGAATAATTTTTTTCCTCCTTCAGTGATATCTGGTGGATCCCATGCATTTCACGAAAAATGGGGAGTTTGCTACGTAATCATTCACGCGGACTTCATGTCGTACCCACGTTATGACTTGCGCATGCGGTCAGGGTCAAGTTGAATTCACTCAGTGTTGTGGGAAAGTTCTGATTGTTTTGATTTACGCCCGTTTCTTTTAGGTATTTTTTTTTTAAACGCTAAAGCTGTTTATAAAAAGTGCGTTATTTTGAATTCTAATACTTCCGCACTATTTACTTAGACATAAATACTAAAAATGGACCTTAGTTTTGAATGTCAAATCCAATCATGGAAGTAAGGCTATTTTGCCACACTTTGACTTCTACACTTATATTAAATATTAATATTACAGATAAATTATTTTTATAAAACAATGCAATTAAACTAAGTATACCAAATTCATTTAATTTTCTTCTGTATATCTAAATAAATATTTTGATGCTATGAATTTAGAAATAGTACAAGGAATAAGAAATTAATACCTTACTTTTTATTTACATAAAAAGTGTGTATAGCCAACAATTATTTTATATTTTTAAGCACTTCGATTAGATTTTGAAAAAAATCCGAAAATGCAAAAAAGAAAAAAATATATATATTGGGCTTCATAGGGCCCCAGCTCCGAATAAAACTTTAAAAAAAGAAGAAAAAAAGTGGGATCTGGGGGCCCTTGCCATCTCGGAGCCCCAGATCCCACTTATTTAGCTTATACGTAAATCCGGCATTGCACGGAAGCCATATTAAGCATGGTGGGCGTAGTTTTGATTATGCAATTTATTAGTCCTGCATTTCAGCTTCTGACAATTTTGTTACCAATATTGTCAGAATTCCCCCCCCCCATACTTGTAGATATTACAACTATAGTTGGAATATTCTTAAAATACGTTTAATTGTCTTTAGTGTTTAGTGCTGTTAAATGTTCGTTTTCACTTAGTTTTCAAGTAACTTTATCTCTTAGACTGAATAATGTCTTCGGGAGTAATGAGAAAGTACCCCATTCAGTTTATATTTATATTTGTAAGGAAGTTGAAAAGACTTCTTGTAATACTTAAAGAGATTGCTAATGGAAGATAGTATCCACTTGTTTATACATGGCTAAATATAAATGTGCTACCACTTTTTCGTCATTTTCCACCACTTTTTCCAGTATTACCCGTATTATTTATGTCTGCAGGATAGGATATTTGATGCAGTTTTCTTTTGTTTTAAATAAAAATATACTAACTTTTTGTTTTTTGAAAAAATTATTCTATTTTCAAAGCTATCAAAGCATGAAGCAGCTCTTTTAATTTATTATTCATTATTTTTAAAACATATTTTAAGCTATTTTTCCCGATGTACCCCGTCTCTTTCTTGTGAAAAAAACCCCCACTTATTTACCATTTTTTTTTCTATGATTTTTGTTTTGTGGAAATTGCAATTTGCTTCAACTCTTAAAATATGACATCAAATATTGCAACCATGTTACTTGAAATGCAGAAGATTTGAGCTTGATGGTATTGTGTTATCAACAATGTTAACCGTCATGTATCAAAAGGTACCTCAACAATAGAATCGAGTAGAATCTTATACACTAGTGAATTGCAATCGAGTTATTGTAGTTGCTGACACGCTACAGTACTCCCCAACAGATTTTTTTTATCTCTAATAGAATTCGATGAATTCATACCACTAGCTGAATCATTGCTGTTTTTTGCGAGAAGGCGGGAGAGCTGTATTAAGACCACCAGACTTTGAGTGCTGATCGTGAGAGCTGTATTAAGTTTACCCTCGTTGTCGCTCTAATGTTGCCATTAGCAGTCGAGTGCATACAGGCCGACGTTGTGAGTGATCAAGACTGAGTAGCTAACAGCTTGAAGAAGACAATGTCGCCGTCACAAATAACAATTCAACTGTTCACTGTGAACCATCGATCAAAGTAGGCAGATCACCAATGTCGGGTGTTGTGCTATCAACAATGTCAATCGTCTTATATCAAAAGGCTCCTCAACCTAGAATTTGCTGGATATTAGGGACATCTCGGTATTTGGCGCAAAACGCCACTAACCGATTCATCGATTCTGGGGTTGTCATATACTAGAAGTCATGTAACCTAAAAAGAAATGAGATGCAGAGAAATTGAAGATCCACAGGAGATTCTCTGGAAGTCAGGCGCGAAGATGTCTTCGAAGATGTGGAACTCCACGTCTAAGTCTTGTTCTCGAGAAGAAATGGACGAAGAAGCTTAACTAGCTCCCCAATCCTTAAGAATTCTTGCATTTTCCTGAAAAACTGCAAGAAGCTGCTGACAGTGTCTGTGGCTTTCAGGGGCTGGGTCTTTTTCTTCCTCGACGTCTTCCTGGGTCAGGGTCTTACACCGCAGCCTGAGAAACAGGCCAGGTGCTAACCATTGCAGTTGGACTCAGGTTGCCGGTTCGGATCTGGGCCTCGTACACTGGTACGAGGTGTGCTCTCCAGCGCATTTCAGCCAGGCAGGATCGGGAGATGTGCAGCTTCTGTTTTTGGCATCTGTAGCATTGTGTTTTAAAGCGTCTCCCTCGGAAATTCTCTATTTGAACTGGGCTCTTGAGAACAGATCTGATGTTGTAGATGCTCATATTGAGGCTCGTATCTGATTGGATGATGAGGAAAAGGGGAAGGAGCATATACTCCACGTCTCTTCTCCTCGGCTGGACTACAAGACAGTCGTTTCTGCTGGTGGTGCTGTTTCTGATTCTATTTCAATGTGGTTGGGCTTGCCGTCAGAGTATGTGTCCATTTCGTCACCGGGTTGACGCAAGTCTTCTCTTTCCTTTTTTGTTGTTTAGCAGAAGGAGCCTGAATCTCTGAAGTTTCCTTAACAGCAGAGTTTTGATGTTGGTCCGCAGTCTCAAAGCTGGTAGTCGAGGCTGTTGTTTCAGGTACTGAGATATCAGCCGTTTCTACCAATGTCGAGGAAGAGTCTATCTGATGTGAAATAATTGTCTCGTTTGAGGCATCTATCATTTTAGATTGATCTGGCATAGTTGTTTTCTACGCCGTCCATTCTTCCTTTATTATCTGGTAGCCTTCAATGAGATATCTCATTTCAAATTGATTTTTCAGTGAAGATCTTGTATACTGCTATGCTTAAGAGCCTGTTCCTCGAAATGTTTCAAGCTATATTTCACTACTCTTATTTTTGTATCGATGTTTTCAAGAGTCGCATCTTGTCTGGCTCTGTTGTGACTCTCTTTTCTCATCACATCATGATCTGCGATAGGAAGCGGCTTCGACTTAAACATCCCCCTTCCGCTGCGGCTGAATCTGTGATAGGAAGGCATAATGGCGAGGAGCTTGGATATAAAACACCCTTACTGCTTGAACGTCAACTAGGTCTTCAACATTGAATCGAGTTAACATGTGCTTATACACTATTGAATTGGAATTAAATAATTTTATTGGTTGCTACGCTACAATGTTTCTCCATCAGAGTTTTATCTGGGATAGAATTCATGCATAATATTATTTAATAATTTTTGCGAAATCAAGATTAGTTCTTTAAAAATATCACAGCGCAAACTGCGTTCACGGCAAGTAGTTGTCAACTATCTGACCGGAAGTTGTGAAGTTAAAAGTTTGTTCGAATGAAACTATAATTTCTTTTTTTTTTTTAAAAAAATAATTATTTTGGGTCAAAGATTTTTTTTAATTGTGTGCAAAAAATCGTTTTTCACACAACTATATATGTCGAAATTTGTGAAGTCTGCGACCTCTTTATTAGCTTTGCAAAACTTTTACAAGATGGCGCAGCTTGCTTAAAGACACTGTTTCAAATCCTTATTGGTTCATACGTACAAAATACAACATACATGCATATAAAGTATAAATTTCTTGTTTATTTAGTTTAAATACATTTTATTTTTTCATATAACTGATCGTTTCTTTTATATCAAGAATGATTTCCAATTAAATTTAGCTTACAACTTGACGCAGTGACTCATATTGAACAACAGTGCCATCTATAATTTTTCTTTTTAATGAAGTAGGTGGAGTAGTTTTGATCATGCTGGGATTTATAGAATTTATGATAATATCTGTGTTGGGATTATTGTCTATAATCTATATCTTGGTGAAGGTTCGTGGTGGTGGAAATTTGGTTGTTTGAGAAATTTGAAATATCTTAATGCTTGGACTTTTGCATGCTGAGTTCGTAAAAGCTCTCTGTTTAATTGCATTGTTGTTACATTTCGAACTTAAATACTTATGATTATTAAAATTCTGAATACACGGACTTAATACTGTGTTATAGATAGTTGTTTTTGCTATTGTTAAACCGGCTTTCTCACAGATCATGACTGAGTACAAGTTAGTTGTTGTTGGCGGTAAGATATGCCTTAAATGCAATAAATATTGCATAAATTATTTATTGGTTATACAATAATTCAGTTAAAGATTATATAAATATTGTCTAATTTTGGTGTAAACTTTTCTTTGAGAAGCATGACATCATGGGTGTCGTTAAGTGTCAGTTTCACACATTAATGCAATATTTCTTTGTGTACTTATGGATAATTTTTTTTTTCATTTTAAACAATTTTAGTGTTTGTTTGAATTTTCCTACGGAGAGTCGGCTAAATGATCCAATTTTTGTGGGAGCTATTTAAATAAATTGGAATTTTGAAGAATTTTTTTTTCTATGTTTATTTACACACTAGAGAAAATATATTTTTTTGTTTGCTTTTTTAAATGTTATTAGAATTGACCATTTCATATGCAAAGCTTTTCAAATTCAGTAAGTTGGGTATTTGGATAATAACTAGGAAGAAAATTGTGAATAAAAATTTTTTAAATGTTTTTTTTTTTTTATGTTAGTAAGATAAGCTTCTTATGTGTTTTGTTTTTGATGCTGTCTTGCTTGCATTTTCTTCGATTTGTGTGAACATAATTTTTATTCCTCAATTTTAATTTTGCAATCTTAATTTGTGTTATTAGGATTCTTAAGTCTGAATTCACACCACTCTTCCATTGTTCCCACTGAATACACACCACTCTTTCAACCATTTAACTTAGATTTGTGAATGAAATTTTAGCATTTTAGAGATATTTAATTGCCAACCTAAAATATTCAAAATAACTTTTATTGCATCCTTAATTGACAGTATTAATAAATTAAAACTAACATAACAGTTTGATTTTGTTAACATGAATCTCAACTTAATTGTTAACTAGTCAATTTGGGAAAATTGACTTGTGAATTTTACTTGAATGAAATTTTAGCAATTTTTTATGACTTGAATGAAATTTTAGAGATATTTAGCTGCCAGAATTTCCTTATCGTACCCATTCACAACTCGCATTTACTAACACTTACAAAAAGTTTACTACAAGTACATTGTGGCTTGCTCAGGGGTGGTTACAATTTATATCGTTCAAGTTTTTCTTTTTCGGTGATTTTTTCTTTCAGTTTCTGCGGCTGTCTGGTTGTTGCCAAAATTTATTGATTGCTGGAGATTTCCTTATCTTGATTCCTAGCAGAATAATCGCCAAGTCTAGGCAACTTCTGGGCAGCGGCCCGCTAGAAACTAAAAAGAACATCTCAGAAAGGGACCAACTGGAAAGATGTAACTCGTAATCATCCCCGGGCAAACATCTACATGTTTTTTTAAAAAAAAGTCAGCAAGTTTAAAATCTGTTTGGCACCTTAGCGATTGTATTTGGCACAACAGATCATGATACGGAAATATCCCCAATTACTGATTCGCAAGCACTGATTCATAAATCTTACTAATCAAACTAAACATAAGTTATAGGTACTTTATAGGAGTTTTATATTAATATTGAGGTAAAGTACTATTTTTCTACTGTGACATATCTTAAACATTTTCCTTGCTAACCTTTATATTTTGTATAATCATTTTATAATAGTACAAATTAAATATTTAATAACAGTAGATGTGTATATTAAAATACTTTAATTACAGTTTACTTAAAGATGTTTTTCTTATTGTTATATTGAGGTGGTAAAACACTACTTATCAACAAGACAACGAATATTATTTTTTATGTTGCATGATTGGTAGATTTATAATCAGAAATTTAATTTTTCCACCCTCAACATTAAGTCAGGAACAAGTCATTCATTTTTGAGCACTATTAAATATTTTGGCATAGCTCTTATTTCTGAAAGCTAAATTACTACGCAAGAAATATCTTCAAAACTCCAATTCACAATATTATTGTAAGCACGCTTCTCTACTGATCTCGTGCCAGTACAGTACATTCTGCATGACAATTTGGAAAGTTTTTTGTGCTATGTATTTTATGTTGATATTCCTGTCTGTTTTCAGTCTTGTTTGTAATTATAAAAGTAGTGTATGAAGGAGTATAACCCTGGTTGGTTTAGATTTTAGAATTTGATATTAGACTTGAGCAGTTTTTAAAATACTAGTTTTGAAATAGTTTTCGGACTTCAAACCAAATTTATTGATAGATGTTGCTTGTGACCTTTCAAGTTTGCAAGGTTTAGGACATAGTCGTTTATATTGTCCCATTGTGGGATTAAAGAAAAAAAAAAGTGCTAGCCTATTGTATAAATGTTTGATAAACTAATGAAATTCTTAGAAATTTGGAAGTTCTGATTATGAATATGAAGTCAGAATTGTATATAATGTGAGCTTAAAAAAGATTAAATTAAAAATGTTCTGCAGATTATGTATTATGGTAATGCATGAGCAGATTTGGATAAAAGAAAACTTCCTGTAAAAAAAAAAACTCAATTTAAAAAAAAAAAACTTTTTGTGGGGATATTTCCGTATCGTGACCTGTTACACCAGCTACAATCGCCAAAGTGCCAAATAGATTTTAAACTTGCAGTTAGGGAAAAAAAGAAGCATGGGCTAGCTACGAGTTAAATCTTTTGAGCTGGTCCCTTTCTGTGATGTTTTTTTTTTTTAGTTTCTCATAAGCCGCTGCTTGGAAGTTGCAAAACTTGGCGATTATTCAGCTACAGATCATAATATGGAAATATGTCCCTTTCTGCAAGCAGTTTATTAATTTTTATAACATGTTTCATCCCTTTTGTCGCACCTCATTTTGGTGAAATTTGTTTAAAAGCAATGGATATTTTTTTTAAATGTTATAATTTTTTTAAAACTCTATATTCATTCATACCAAATAAATAAGTGTGGTAAAAAACCGAAAAAGCTTAATATAGAAATACAAAATTGCTGTATGCAAAACACTTATAATAGAAAAAGACCAGAAATTACAGCATGAAAAAAGTGTATGTTAGAAACATTTATGCTGAAAATGTTATCAACATTTTAATAAAAATAGTGGTGTGAGATTTAAAAAATTTATATTGTGTGAATAAGAATCTAAGTATGCGATTTTTAAATCATGCGAATCAGGATGTTTTATTATAAAATCTCGTTAATATGAATCTCTATTTTTGATTTTAAAATCTCATTAGTACAAATATCAATGTTTGATTTTAAAATCTTGTGAATACAAAATGCGATATTTGATATTATATCATGAAAGTACGCAATACGATGCACATTCTTTTGATTTTAGATCATGTTAACATGAATGGCGATGTGCTATTTTAAATCATGTGAGCACCAATCGCAATGTCTGATTTTAAATCACATGAATGTAATTTTAAATATTGTTTATGTAGGAAATTGCATTTTGTTTTCTCGGGAATTCGATGACTACGGAAATTTTTATTTCAGTAATACTAAAAGGTTTACCCTGATGGTGACTAATTTTTCATGGACAGCGTTCATTATACACATCTGTGTATAATTATATAAGTGCAAATTTATCATGGAAAGTCAAGAATTTAAGTGATAAATACTAAAAATTCATGGAAACTTTCAGTTCATCATGGATTGTAGAACTTATAATGTTACACAATTTAAAAATCCTGCATCGCAGTTTGTATATACATGCTAGGCCTCCTGCTTTTATATTTAGTTAGTTATATTAAAATTATATTTGTTACATTGAAAAAACTTTACTCAATTGAGCCTTATAAATAAATAATATACATATATATGCAGTCAGACCACGATATAAGGTCACCCTAAGGGACATCGCAAAAATGACCTTATAGGCGGGTAACCTTTTAACCGATTCATTAGTAGCTCGTAACTAAGCACGTAAATAGTACACATTATGATTTTTTTAAAAATAGTAATACAAACGAAAATGATCGGTCATGAATTAAGTATTCAAGTCAATAAATTTTAACAGAATTAGTAAAGAATTGAAGAAAGTTCGATTTTTAAAAAAAATATAGTTAAAAATAAAGCTGTTTGCAAATTTCCTCAAAGTGAACATACATACATTACATATTACTTTATTTAAAATAAATCATTTATGCAGGTCTGTTTCGTTTTTGGTTTTATTTTTTGAACAATGTTTTCTAGATTTTGTAACTTCTCAAAATGTTCTTCAGCTCCCTCATGGTTTGTAAAAAAAATTCGTATGACATTTATTGCATTGAAGGCTTCCGCTTGGGCTACAGCTCAGTCTCAGGATCACTGTCCTCACTGTGAAACAATTTCAGAAGTTGTTACTTGTTCACTTGTTGCAACATTTTCATAGAACTTGAGAGGGATAATTGCCTTGTAAAGAAGTTAAATAGGCTTTTGTTAGAAAAGAGCTCCCCTCGCCTCAGATAAAAATGACCTTATAAGCGATAATGATTTTTAAAACTTGACCATATATCCGATAATCTGTAACAAAGAATTCCTATTCAGTTAGCCGGGACTTTGGAAAAGTGACCTTATATGCGGATGACCTTATATCGAGGTCTGACTGTCACTTTATACATATATATCGTAATTTGATAGTGCAAGGAATGATGTTGATACTTTCGTTTCGTTGAAGTTAAATTAACATATTTCCAAGAATTTACCTTAAATTTGACCTTATTTTTAAACTCGTGTTCTAATTTGTATGTTTGTTACCGCTAATTGCTGAGTTTTTTTTCAATTTGTTTAATAGTTTAGTCTTTTTTTTTATTGCATTTGCTTAGATTGGCTTATTAAAAAAGTGTGCAAAGCATTGCTCAGATAAAACAATAGTGTTTTTAAGATGGGAAGTTATAATTGTTTAGATCTTCTTTTGACTTTCTTGGGTAATAATGTATTTACCCATGAAAGTCATGGAAAGTGTTTGGTAGAAGTCATGGATTTAAAAACTTTAGATTTAAGTAGATACCTTAATATAAGAATATTTGTCAGTGGCTGATTTTATAGTTATAGTATAAATGTTCGTTTTTTAATAATAATTGAATTAATAATATTGATATCATAAATATTGAATTTTTAAAAGTTATTTAAAAAAAGGAATTTTAGTATAAATTGTATTT